TCACATCTAGTTTAAACATGAGTTTTATTTGGCTTCATTTTTAGATAGAAAAATTTTCATATACTTATTTACAAGAGAAATATAGAGTACTCTTATCTGAATCCTTGCATATAGGAATTCTTCTGACGTTTTCACACATGGAGAACTTGACTGGGTATAAAAATTCTTGAGTCATGGCCCTTTTTCTCCTCAAAACTTGCTTTCTGGCTTTTAGTAGTGGAACAGAGATATATGAAACTAGCTTTATTTCTGTTTGTTGTTTTGTAAGTAACTTTTGGGGAGGGAAGGGGGTCTGTATCTAATTACAATTTTAGTTCTATCCAAAAGATATGCCAAATCTATCTAGATCTTTAGTTTTTGTATGGTTGTATTAAGAGGTTAGTTTGTTGATATAACAAAGGGCATATTAATAGTGGCTTAAGAAAGATCAGATTTTCTGTCTCACATACCAGTTTAAACCTAAGCAGCCTAGCACTGCTGGAGCAGTGGCATGATTATGGGAGCTTTCCTTGACACTGGGCTTTTGTTTTGTGTCTTGAGATGGCTGTCCCAGCTCCAGCATGGCTCTCACCTCCACATCTGCATTCCATCCAGTGGGAAGTGGTGGGTGCATCTTGGAGATGGCAAGTATGCATTTTCCTTTTTTTTTTAAGAAGTGGTTCCGTCAAACTAGACCATGCCATGCATTGAAGGTTTCCCAGTCTAATTCTGTAAAGCCTGTAATTATTGTTGACTTCCCTTGCTTTTTGGTGTTTAGCTGTTTTTGTTGTGAGTCTGTTTTATTCTTTCTTGATGTTTAATGAGAAAGAGGCCATTTTTTACTTGGAAGTCTATTCTTATACGTCAGTTAGAATCAGACTTTGTTGTGTTCAAATTTTTGTTTTAGTTGAGGAGACAGGCCTCCAAGAGGCTATGAGGTGTACAAAGTTATTTAGCTAGTGTACTGGGCAAGCAGGGAGCAAATATCTGGGCCCGGGCTCCCTTTTTCTCCTGATGAGAACGTGAGACCTGTAACGATCTGGTACAAAGTGAGGGGCACCTATTTCTGCCTTCAGCCTGCCCCACAGCAGAGCCGAGCCACATCCTAGTGAGCTTTCTTCACAGCTTCCTGCTGTTTGCTGAGCAAGGCCTACCATGCTGATCAGCAGTTGCTGTGGCTTTCGAGGGTGTAGGATGCAGGAGCTGGGGCTGTATTCCTTCACAGTATGATTTTTCAGATCTGAGAGACAGCAAGTCCTAGAGATGAAGGATGACTGGAGGAACTGAGAGAAGGGAGGACAAGGCAGCTGTCTTCAGGCCTTAAGTAATATGGAGTAGGTTTGGTGTGTGATGGTTGTAGGGTGAGCAGATTTCCCACCAGAAGACAGATCTATGAGGCTAGGCTGTGCGTCAACATAACTGTCTGCCTTAGAAGTCGCAGTTCCCCCAGTGTCGGGTGACTGGGCACTGCGAAGAGTTTAAAGGACACTACTCCTTATTAGGAACATGGATCAAATTACCCCAGTAGTCCTTTCCCAGTACTGCTGCGCTGTGAATGTAGAGTTGAGAATAGGTTTTGCCAGGTTCAGTGAGGGTGACTGGAGTAGTTTTATAGCTGTTGGAGGATCAGGGACATTCAGGAGTCACAGAAGTCAGGCAGTCTTTCATATTGGAAATGGTTGAGGTTATAGATAAACTGGGATGGGGTCAGATTGAGTTTGGTTTTACAGAGTTTGCCCTGATCATCAGAAGTTATTGGAGGCAAATGGGGATATTCTTCACTGTTTATTGTCAGCAACATCCCAGAGAGAAGGTTAGATCCTAAAATGGGAGCAAACCAAGGACCCTGAATCCCTGCTTTTACAAGAGAATACAGAAAGATCAAGGTCAAGTTAGAATATTGTTTTGTTCCATGAGGTTTCAACCCTTGCTGGCCAAATCAGTCAGAACAAGAGCTGTTAAGAGCACTCATTGCTTCTAGAAAGACAGTGACTTTATGTGGCTGATGTGAACTAGAATAGAAAATTAACTCGCATATGGTAAGTCTCGAGTTTTTAATCTACCAACACTTTAAGGGGAATGTAGAGAGGAAATAAAAGGCAGCAACTGACAGTAAACATCAGGGGATTCACTTGCAGTGTTGTTAAATATTAGCAGGTCAAAGAAATCTCCATTAGGCTTGAAATTAGACAGTGAAAGATTTCAACGCACGTACAGTTTAGGTTCTGGGCTTCTCTCATCATCGTTCATGTGAATGTCCCTCCCCAGAGTGCATGAATAAGAGTATGCCAAATGCTTTCCATATTTCCTAAGTCCTTATCCCATCTCTGTCTACTCAGTCACCAAGTTATTTACATCCTAGTTGATGCCAGGTTATCCATTTTCCCCTGCTTCCCTTAGAAGTCCAGTGTTTCCACCCTTGCTTTCTGTCCTGTCAAGATGCCTTCTGTCTAGGGCTTATCATTTCCTTTTTGAAACCTCTCCAAACGTCTAACTATTCTACTGATCCTTTTTCTTATGTTCTTAAGAACAGAGGGAGAACTCTGTGCTGGAGTCCTTTTCTAATTTGCAAACAGCCTCTTCCATCCTTCCTTTCCATGGCTCCGTGTTGGAAGAAGCCAGATTCTCCAGAGAGAATAGGCAGAGTAGGAGAGAAACGAAGCAGGACAGAAGGGATGTTCAGGCCTACACACCACATCTCCTGAGACACTGAACACAGGGCTTCTGTGGAGGGCTGGGGTGAAGGACGTACCTTGTCCTTGCCGTTGCCAGGCATGTTGTCTCTCTTCCTTTCCCTCACACAAAAATAAGCTCTTTCCCTGGCCAGGCTTAAAAGTTTCTTTAGGACAGGGGTTGGCCTTACATAGTTAGCCTTACATACATTCGCCTTACTGGATACACAGTCAGTATCCCGCCCTCTAGTTCTGTGGTTCTCAAACTTCAGTGCACATTGGCGTCACCCAGAGAGCTCCCTGAAACACCCACTGTCCACCCTCAGAATTTCCGACTCAAGGTAGACCCCAAGAGTCTGCATTTTCAAGTTCCCAGGTGATACTGATGCTGCTGTTCTTGAGGACAACAGTCTGAACACCACTGACCTAGTGTAGCTTCTCCCTGAGACGGGCCTGGAGAAGCCGGCCTCCTCAGTGTAGTTTCCCAGTCCTGACGGCACATGCCACCCATTTCCCCACAGTCCCCTCAGGCAGAACTCGGCTGATGCCTAGGGATGGGCGATACTTAGTAAAATAAGAGACAAGACACCAGGATCTGGTTAGCTGGATATATTTCTTTTTTTTTGTTTTTGTTTTTGTCACAGAACACTGTTTGCAGTAGAGGAAACTGGCATTGCAGTCTGGTGGTAAAATGGCTTGTTCACATAAACCAGTACATGTTCATCCTTTAGCGCAAAAAGCCCTAATGGCGCGTACCCTATTGAAATTCAGGACATCTCCAATATTTCTCTCTCTGTTTTTCTTTGTCATTTTTTTTTTTAATAAACATTTTCAAGGTTTGTCCAAAAGAAGGCCATATAGGTTCTTGGCTAGCGGAAGACAATTCAGAACAGTTGTTGCACACTTGGACTGTCACCTTCTCCAGGCTGGCAGTTGATATTTTTTTTTCCAACTCATTTTTATTAAAAAAATAAAAAAATGCTCCAACTATCAGTTTTACAAAATCTCTAAGGGAAACACAAGAGCAAGGTGCTGAGGTAAAAAACACCTGAGGTAGCTTTTTTGGTGTGTTTTTCTCGTTAAAAAAATCTGTAAATTTAACGCCCTGGGCCAACGACCTCGTGTAAATTGCTATTTTCCTCCATATTTTTTTAAAAAGAAAGAAATCATTTCGCTGAATATTGATGGCTTATACACCAAAATGTAAAAAGACAAAATACATTCTTTCTTTGTGGAATTTTTCTTTTGTTTGGTTGGTTGGTTTGATGGGTTCCTGTTTTCCTCTTCCAAAATGCTAGGACAAGTACCATTGACTCTTGTTCTTTTGAGTAACCAAGTGTAAGTTGAGGCTGGTTTGTGTGTTTCGCTTTTGTTCCTTTTGTGTGATGTGATACTCAGAGCACTGCTTTGCCTGGGGGGTGCGTAGATATGGGAATTGAGACAGAGGGATGAGGGAATTAAAAAGAATGGGGATGGAGAAAACAGGGAGGGAGAGGGGACGGGGGAAGAGATAAACAGAGAGAGACAGAGAATTATATAGCAGTATGCAAAAACCAGTTTAAAACCTGTGAAGCAAAGAGAAATGGGTGTGAGAGTTAGACAGGGATGAAGAGAGACAGAGTTTCCTCTTCAGAGAGACGGTATCCCTTCTGTTGACATACACAGGTGATCCAGAACTGCTGTGAGTGTCCTTTCGATGAGATTTCCCTCCAGGTGAATTTTGTGTGGGTGGCCTTGAAGTTCCTTACTAAACCATTAGACCTCCCAGAGGATGACTTTATTCTTTAAAGTCTAGAAAAGCCTGCTTTCTCTTGAAAAAGAAAAAAGAATTAATAATTGATTAAAAAAATTGGAGTTAGTTGAGTTATTTGATATATTATTTCTAAAATATATTAACGCCGCAGGCACCCTGTGTAACCCACAGGCCACATATCTTAACATCTTTCCCTTCTAATATGTACATACATGTACAGAGACAATTTTCCACAAAAAGAAAAGGGTGTGAATTTTGCTTTGATTTGAACACGTTCACCTATGTTAGTTCAACTAAAAGGGATAGCGTGGTGGGAGTTGAGAGATCCGAGTGGATGGTGAAGTGGATGGCTGGGAACCCTGCAGAGGCCCCGGGGGGAGGCGGGAGGCTGGGCCTCGACACAGCTGCCCTCCCGCCTCCCTTCCTGCCCCCCAGATTCTCAGGGCCTCTGCAGAGCCCCTGGCGCCTCCGCAGACTTCTCATTCCTCAGGATGGTCTTTGGTTTGCTCCCGATCTGGCTGGCTGTGTTTGGTCTCATTCTGTCAGGTGTTGGAAGGGCTACATTCATCCGTTGTTTGCTGGTGCCTGTGGGAGCCTCACTTGCTGCGCTGTGAGGCGACTCCCTGAGGATATTTCTGCTCCTGCTGCTTCACCTGCTGTACAATTTCCCTGATCTTGCGCTGTGCAGTCTGCAGCAAGGGAGAGGAGGGGGGTGGGGGGAGAAAAGGAACCCAGTTCTGAGGACAGGCAGAGGGGAGTGGGAGAGTGGGCTTGGGACTTGTGGGGAGGAGGTGGTAACCTCAGACTCCCGGCAGGGAAAGTGTCATCTGGACTCTACTGCAGTAAAGTGGCAGAGTTCCCCACCCCCACCCCAAGGCTGCTAGGTGGAAGGTAAGAAAGTGGGATCCCAGGAACCACAACCAGGGCATCAGTGACTCAGGACTCTGCAGAGGTCAGACAGCATCGTCCCTCCTAGCTACACTCACTCCAGTGTCCAATGCTGCCCCCCACCCCGCTGCCTTCCTAGAGTGTGGTGTATAGCGGGGATATGACAGTCAATGGCATGGGGAGAAAGTGAGAAACTGGCCCAGACACTAACTCCACCCTGAACAATGGAGAAAACACATGAACCCACACCTGCCCCCTCACCCACCCTGGCGCTCCTTTTGTAGGGAGAGCCCTGCATTGAGACCTGTGCCCAGGGCTGGGAGGGGAGAGCCACAGGGGCGGCGTGGCTGGTGACTGTAGGAGTCTCAGGGTGCCTGTGGGTCATAGGGCTGCGGCAGCGTCACAGGGCCTGGCAGAGCATGGCATTGGGAACGTGGGCTAACACCCAGACACACCTGCCATGTCAGTGGAGACTGCCTCTGCTCCTTCAGGATGGGACTGGACTCTGCTTTGTCCCACCCCTACCCATCCATAACAAAGCATTAGCAAGAACCAGGTCACATGATGCTGAGGGGCTGGCCCTTCTGACTGGACGAGCAGCAGCTGTGCGGAGCTCTGAGTCTTAATGAGGGGTGTCGTGCAGCAGAGGCGAGGAAAGAGAAACACGGGTTTCCTAGGATGAGCGTTTAACCTGTAACAGTGTCATTGTGGCAGCCAGGCTGGTCCTCAGGGTCCAAGGGTGACCCTTCCTGGTAAGTGACTCCCGGCAGGGAAAGGCTGTGACTGAGGCCTGGTCAGGAGGATGAGGGAACGCAAGAGCTTGCAGTCCAGCATTTGAAAGGCTGAACTGTACTCGCTTGATTCCAAAGCTCTACGCCCTTCCTCAGCCTCCTCTAGCAGAGCCGGGAGAGCAACAGTAAGCTGAGGAACAGTCGCCCCTGCCCTGTTCCATCTGCATGGGGGGTCAGGGCAGGGGCATGCGCAGGGCCTGGGGCCACCCGACAGGTCACCAAGAGCTTAGAGACTTGACAAGAGATTAGCAGGAGAGACTGGACGCTCACAGCACAGGTACCTGACTGGCAAAGAAATGCCCGATAATTCTGACAATCACTTCCTCATTTTCATCTGGTGTTTGGTCACGAGGCACGATGACTTCTGCACTGGTTAAGTTCTGCAGTTCATTCACCTGTGGAGGAAAAAACCAAAAAACGTGTGACTCGCTTCATTACAGTATCTCCAAGGCATGTCCGAGGACCTGGGTGGAACTCTGGTCCCTATTCTTTCCCGCTGCTGTGTGTGTGGGTTTCCAGGGGCAGGAGGTGGCTCCCTGTCTTCACTTCCCAGCTCGTAGCATAGATGCAGCTTGTCTGGACTCAGGACCCTGGTTTTTCGGGGTCTGGCTTAGCACTGTGAATCTGAGGCCTGCAGCTCTGGATGATGCTGATTACGTTTTTGTCCTAGCAGAGTCAGGGGTGGGGGTCTGAGGGAAGTCGGGCCAGGAGACAAAGCCAGCTCAGAGCACACTCACGGTTTTGCCGCCCTTGCCGATCACACGGCCGGCTGTAGAGGAGGGCACTCGGATGTGGGCTTCCAGCTTCACCTCCTCTTTGGGATTAAAGAAGTTTTCTTCTTTCAGTTTCCCAAAGATCCGCCCCTGGGCCTGAGAGAGCAAGACATGTCAAACTGCTTTAGCAGCACTGCTGTGGGAACTGGTGAGTCCAAGGCATGGCACAACCCCAGCCCCATGCTCACCAGGGCCCGCTCAGCTGGCTCAGACCCGGTGGGCACACGCCTTCCACACCCAAGTGCACCTTGCAGACATGCACAGACACTCCTGTGTCTTCAGGTTTGCACACGATCGCACAGGGAGCTTTCTGTGTGTAGGGACAGGGTGGAACTACCTGTAGTCTTTGTATCCTGAGCACCTATAAATATTTGCTTGAATGAATTTGTTCAGGGAATTCTTAACTTCCTCCCACCCACAGTATGTTCATAAGTCTGTTATTAAAGGATGGAGGCAAGGGTGGTGGTGACAGAATTTGCTTTTTGATACCTAATTCCAGAGGTAGTGTAGCCAAGAGCTTATTGTTCTTTTTAAAATTTGAAGAACTTAAAAAGTATTTATTTAATGGCTGTACTGCTCGGCATATGGGATTTTAGTTTCCTGACCAGGGGTCAAACCTGTGCCCCTTGCAGTGGAAACATAGAGTCTTAACCATTGGACTGCCAGGGAAATCCCTAAAAGGATTAAAAAAAACTGAGATATAACTTACATAACCTAAAATTCTGCACTTTCAAGTGTACACTCCAGTGGTTTTTAGGACATTCATTACGTTGTGCAACCACCACCACTCTTCAGAACGTTTCTATCCCATTCCCCCAGATAAAACCCATACCTATTAGCAGACAGTCCCAGTTCCTTCCCTCTAGTCCCTGGCAACCATTAAACTACTTGTGTCTGTATGGATCTGCCTTTTCTGATGTTTCACATAAATGGAATATACCATATGTGGCCTGCTGTGTCTTCTTTCTCTCACTGGGTGGAACGTTTTCTAGGTTCACCTATGATGTAGTGTGAGTCAGAATTTCACTCTTTTCATGGCTGACTGATATCCTATTATGTCATTATACCACATTTTGTTTATCCATCATGAGTTGAAGGATTATTGTCCTTGAACATTTATACATGTGTTTTTTTCTCAGACACATTTTAAATATTTTTAATACGAATTATATTTTTATAAATATGTTTCTTTTAGAAAACTCAATTTATAATTTTCCTAGGGGTGAAAAGGTAAAAACAAAATACTGCAGGAGAAGGGAGACAGCTGGCAGAGTATTAACAGAAGGACTTGAGCTCACCTCCTCTCATGAAAACACCAAAATCACAACCAACTGCTGAACAACCATCAACAAAAAGACTGGAACCTTTCCAAAAAGATAATCTGCATCCGAAAACAAAGAAGCCACAACAAGATGGCAGGAAGGGTGCTGTCACAATATAATCAAATCCCATACCCACCAGGCCACCCACAAACTGGAAACTAATTATACTGCAGAGGTTCTCCCAGAGGAGAGTTCTGAGCCCCATGCCAGGCTCCCCAGCCTGGGCGTCTGGCATCCCAAGGAGGAGTCTTCATAGCATTTGGCTTTGAAGGGCCAGAGGCACTTGAGTGCAAGAGCACCACAGGACTGAGGGCAGCAGACTCCACTCTTGAAGGGTGCACACAAGGGTTCATGTGCCCTGGGACCCAAGGCAAAGCAGTGACTCCACAGGAGCGAGTCAGACCTACCTGTAGGTTTTGGAGAGTTTCCTGGGGAGGTGGGGATTGGCTGTGGCCCACTGTGGGGCAAGGACACTGGCAGCAGAGGCCCCAGGAAATATTCCTCAACGTGAGCTCTCCTGGAGGTCACCATTTGGTACGGAGACCTGGCCCCACCCAACAGCCTGCAAGCTCCAGTGCTGGGGATGCTTCAGGCCTACCAACAGGGTGGGAACACAGCCCCAGCAATCAACCAACACAATGCCTAAAGCTGTCCTGAGTCCACAGGCACCTCAAGACATGCCCTTTGACATGGCCCTGCCCACAAGAGGGACAAGAGCCAGCCCCATCCACCAGCTGGCAGGCACCAGTCACTACCACCGGGAAGCCTGTACAAACCCCTGAACCAACCTCACCCACCAAGGGGTAGACATGAGAAGCAAGAACTACAATTCAGCAGCCTACAGAAGGGAGACAACAAACACAAAATGAGACAGCAGAGAAGTATGTTCCAGACGAAGGAACAAAACCCCAGAAGAACAACTAGATATTGAGATATCGAGATAGGCAATCTACCTGAAGGTAGAGAAGAGACTACACATGGACATCACCAGATGGTCAATACCAAAATCAGATTGATTATATTCTTTGCAGCCAAAGACGGAGAAGCTCTATACAGTCAGCAAAAACAAACTGACTGTGGCTCAAATCCTGAACTCCTGATTGCCAAATTCAGACTGAAATTGAAGAAAGCAGGGAAAACCACTAGACCATTCAGGTATGACCTAAATCAAATCCCTTAAGATTATAGAGTGTAAGTGACAAATAGATTCAAGGGATTAGATCTGATAGACAGAATACCTGAAGAATTATGGATGGTGGTTCGTAACACTGTACAGGAGGCAGGGATCAAGATTATCCCCAAGAAAAAGAAGTGCAAAAAGGCAAAATGGTTGTCTGAGGAGGACTTACAAATAGCTGTGAAAAGAAGAGAAGTGAAAGGCAAGGGAGAAAAGGAAAGATACACCCATTTGAATGCAGAGTTCCAAAGAATAGCAAGGAGAGATAGAAAGCCTTCCTCAGCGATCAATGAAAAGAAATAGAGGAAAACAATAGAATGGGAAAGACTAGAGATCTCTTCAGGAAAATTAGAGATACCAAGGGAACATTTCATGCAACGATGGGCTCAATAAAGGACAGAAATGGTATGAACCTAACAGAAGCAGAAGATATTAAGAAGAGGTGGCAGGAATACACAGAAGAACTATACAAAAAAGACCTTCACGACTCAGATAATCATGATGGTGTGATCACTCACCTAGAGCCAGACATCCTGGAATGTGAAGTCACGTGGGCCTAAGGAAGCATCACTATGAACAAAGCTAGTGGAGGTGATGGAATTCCAGTTGAGCTATTTCAAATCCTGAAAGATGATGCCGTGAAAGTGCTGCACTCAATATGCCAGCAAATTTGAAAAATTCAATAGTGGGTACAGGACTGGAAAAGGTCAGTTTTCATTCCAATCCCTAAGAAAGGCAATGCCAAAGAATGCTCAAACTATGGCACAATTGCACTCATCTCACACGCTAGCAAAGTAACGCTCACAATTCTCCAAGCCAGGCTTCAACAGTATGTGAACTGTGAACTTCCAGATGTTCAAACTGGATTTAGAAAAGGCAGAGGAACCAGAGATCAAATTGCCAACATCTGTTGAATCATTAAAAAAGCAAGAGAGTTCCAGAAAAGCATCTATTTCTGCTTTCTTGACTGCCAAAGCCTTTAACTGTGTGGACCACAACAAACTGTGGAAAATTCTGAAAGGGATGGGAATACCAGACCACCTGACCTGCCTCATGAGAAACCTATATGCAGGTCAGGAAGCAACAGTTAGAACTGGACATGGAACAACAGACTGGTTCCAAATAGGAAAAGGAGTACGTCAAGGCTGTATATTGTCACCCTGCTTATTTAACTTCTATGCAGAGTACATCATGAGAAACGCTGGACTGGATGAAGCACAAGCTGGAATCAAGATTGCTGGGAGGAATATCAATAACCTCAGATACGCAGATGACACCACCCTTATGGCAGAAAGTGAAGAAGAACTAAAGAGCTTCTTGATGAAAGTGAAAGACAGTGAAAAAGTTGGCTTAAAAGTCAACATTCAGAAAACTAAGATCATGGCATCTGGTCCCAGAACTTCATGGCAAATAGATGGGGAAACAATGGAAACAGTGGCAGACTTTATTTTGGGGGGCTCCAAAATCACTGCAGATGGTGACTGAAGCCATGAAATTAAAAGACATTTGCTCCTTGGAAGAAAAGTTATGACCAACCTAGCCAACGTATTAAAAAGCAGACACATTACTTTGCCAACAAAGGTCCATCTAGTCAAAGCTTTGCTTTTTCCAGTAGTCATGTATTACATGGCTTTACAAACATGTATTACCTGGCTATTACAAACAGTGCTGTGATGAACCAGTACTCATGTATGGATGTGAGAGTTGGACTATAAAAAAAAAGCTGAGTGTTGAAGAATTGATGCTTTTGAACTGTGGTGTTGGAGAAGACTCTTGAGAGTCCCTTGGACTGCAAGGAGATCAAACCAGTCCATCCTAAAGGAAATTAGTCCTGAATATTCACTGGAAGGACTGATGCTGAAGCTCAGTACTCCAATACTTTGGCCACCTGATGCAAAGAACTGACTCATTTGAAAAGACCCTGATGCTGGGAATGATTGAAGGTGGGAGGAGAAGGGGATGATAGAGGATGAGATGGTTGGATGGCATCACCGACTCAATGGACATGAGTTTGAGTAAGCTCCAGGAGTTGGTGATGGACAGGGAAGCCTGGTGTACTGTAGTCCATGGGGTCACAAAGAGTCAGACACGACTGAGCGACTGATCTGAATCTACCTGAAAAAGACATTCAAAATAATGATAGTAAAGGATGACCTAAGATTTTGGAAGTGTTTGTTTAACAAAGAACTAGAAGATGAACAGTAGCACAGAGGTGAACAATATAACTGAAATGAAAAATATACTAGAAGGAATCAATAACAGAATAAAGGAGGCAGAAGAATGAATAAGTGAGTTGGGAAACAGATTGGTGAAAATCACACTGTGGAACAGAATAAAGAATGAAATGAGCAAGTCTAAGAGACCTTTGGGGTGACATTAAGTGCACCAGCATTCACATTATAGGGGTTCTAGAGGAAGATGAGAGAGAGAAATGGCCTGAGAAAATAAAGTGATGAAAGGGAAAAACCTACAACAAAGGATAGCCAGCAAGGCTCTCATTCAGAATCAATGAATAAGTCAAAAGCTTTACAGATAAGCAAAAGCTAAGAGAATCCACTACTTTATAACAAAAGCTAAAGGAACTTCTCTATGTGGAAAAGCCCACAACTAGAAACAAGAAAATTATGAGTGGGCAAGTTCACCAGTAAAGACAAAAATACAGTAAAGGTGGGAAATCATTCATACATAAATATGATGTCAAAACCAGTAATCATGAGGAGAGTACAAATGCAGGATATTGGAAAGGCATTTGAAATTAGACCAGCAACTTTATTAAACAATGTTGTATATATAAAGACGGCTATGTCAAAACCTGGTAACTGCAAACCAAAAAATCTATAATTACACAAAAAATAGTCCAAATGCAACACTAAAGATAGTCATCAAATTGTGAGAGAACAAAAGAGGAAGGGAAGAAAAAAAGACTTACAGAATCAAACCTGAAACAGTTAACAAAATAGCAATAAGAATATACATATTGATAATTACCTTAAATGTAAACAGATTAAATACTCCAACCAAAGATGATACACACACACACACACACGAGTGGGATGTTACTCAGCCCATTTAAAAAAATGTTTAGGAGTTTGGGATTATCATATGTCAACAAAGACTACTATATAGCACAGGGGACTCCACTCAACATTATGTAATAAGCTACATGGGAAAACAACCTGGAAAAGAATGGATTATGTATGTGTGTAACTAAATACCTGAAACTAACACAGCATTGAAAAAAACTGTACTCCAATATAAAGTAAAGGAATGCATTCCTCCAAACCCTTCCAACAAACTGCTATTTTTCCTCACACCCTGTGTTTATACTCCATCTTCAAAACCATGGCCAAGGGATCAGAGATGTTCCCGAGGGGGTGCCATCTGAACTGGGCACTGATAGTCCACTTTTCACAGGAGAGAAGGGAAGCAGGGCTCCGTATAGAGGGCACAGCCTGAAGGTGGGGAAGATAGGGTGGGTTGGAGACTATTGCAGGAAGAGAAATGGAGATAGGATGGAGCCTCCAAAGAAGAGCCTGAAGCTGCCTCTGGGGTAGCTGCACTTGCTAAAGGTCCTCAGCGCCCCCAACAGGCAGCCCTGCGCTCAGGACTGAGGGGGTTCTTGGCACTGACCTTGAACTGAGCTTCAGGTGGGCCGGTGATGATGACCATCCTTTCACTGACGTCTGGGCCTTCTGCTGGGGCGATCTGCAGTTCACAAAGCAAGAGGGAAACGCTGCTCGGTGCTGTTCCCTGAGCCCCTTCTCGTGAAAGTGGGTGGCACCCCTACTAGCGAGAGATCACGGGACTCACGCCTTTGCACCCGGGACTCTGACCCTGCTGCTTCCACCCTGGGTCTTAGGAGAAATGACATTAGTGCCCAGTATCAAATTCAGGTGGGAAGCAGGTTACTAGTTACTGCCTGTCCCTGCCCCAACACCAGCAGTGACCAACCTCTTCACCAAGGAGCCCTCTAGCCCACCCAGGGCCAAGAGGCGAGGAAGGGCTGGTCAACAGAGTTCAGTCGGAGCCAGTCTGCAGGAAAGGGCATCCGGGTTCTCATTCTTGGCTGCCAGTGACAACTGGACTAGAGCAGGCGTGACTAGGACTGTGATGGCGCCTAAGCAAGCATGAGGACACCCTGGTTCCAGGGTGCTCTGCACACCCCTCCCTTCCCCACAGGTGGAACATGGTTGAACCTGGCAAGCTGGAAACCTAGCTCTCACACTCAATCTGACATTAACACAATTCAAGATGGACCAAGTATACATTTTTTTGTTATAGCCTCTTTATACATTCCCCATTGTGACAAAATTACTTTTATTTATTTATTATTAATTACTTTTATTAGGTCATGCTGCACAGCTTTCAGATCTCAGTTCCCCATCAGGGATCGAACACATGTCCCTTGCAGTGGAAGCTTAGGATCCTAACCACTGGACCACCAGGGAACTCCTGTAAAGTTACTTTAAACTGAGTTAAAAGTACACGGGGCATTTAGGGATGAGCCAGGTTAGCACACCAATGTACCTCATGAGGCCGTATGCACCATCCAGAGACACCATCCCCAAGACTGACCTGAACTGTTCAACATGAACGTGACACACCACTAAGGCGGTGTGTCTGAAGTTACCGTCTCTGAACCACTGTGTCTGAGTCTTGATCTCCCCTCAAAAGACCTCCACCTCCACAGGGTTTAATTTACTTTTCTCTTAGTACACATCCTAAGCCAGGCTGCATCTGCAGGCTTCAGGGTCCTGTGTCACTTTCCCAGCTTTGCTGTGAAGATAGAGCCAAGGCCTGCTCTGACCTGTGCCCACTCTGGAAAGAGAGACCCTTCTCCAAGACCTCAAGGAAGATCCAGCCCTGACTACTTAGTGGTATGAGGATTAACGCTGAGACACAGGTCACCAATCACTGAGCTTCTTGGAGGATCTTTCCTCTGCTGCGGGCAGACTGCCTGCCAGCCTCCAACCTCAGGGCTGCAGCCTCAGCTAAAAAAACGCAGATGTGTTCAGGGGACTGAGACCCTCCAGCAGGCTGCAACACAGATCACTGGTGAGGGGGCAGTCCAGTGGTTAAGATTTCACCTTCCAATGCAGGGGTGCAGGTTCGACCCCTGGTCAGGGAGCTGATCCCACATGCCTTGTGGCCAAAAGACCAAAGCATAAAGCAGAAGCAATATTGTAACAAATTCAATAAAGGCTTTAAAAATGGTCCACATCAAAAAAAGAAAAAAAAAACCTTAAAGAAAAAAAGATGACTGGTGGGAACCCCTGTCTCTACTTCTAGATCTGTAAGTGGCATTAAACCTGCTCTTGAGTGCAAGGGTCAATGAGAGGGATAGAGCATGGGCACAGTGGTTCCCAGCTCTTATCCACCCAAACTGAGAAAGGCTAATTCCCAAGTCGTGTTGACCCAATCAGTTCTCACAGCCACCTTGCTCCAGTTCTGAAAGAAAGTCATCTGTCCCCTACCCGGCATTCCCAGCCCAGCCTGGCACTCCGCAGGCAAACATCCCGAGAGGACCTGCAATGAGGACCCCATTCTATGACTGAAGCAAACGGGACACAGAAAGATGGGGTGACCACCAAGATCACGGGTGAGCAGGGCTGGAGTGAGGACTGGGAATTGTGTGCGACATTCTTAAACCTGCCGTCCAGAGGCTCTGCAGGCTAAGCAGGTGATGAGGTCTCAGCTCTTGCCTGTGACGGAAGCATCTCGTGTGTGTACCACACAGTCCCAGCTCAGCCCACTGCCTTCCAGCACTGTGCTCCCATGTTAGTGTAAAGCTTGCTCCTGCCCCTGCAGCATCAAATGTGCCTCTAGGCGTGGCCCCTGAAGACCAGCAGGGCAGGCTGGGGGTGGTTCTCCAGAGCAGGTGAGATCATCACCTTTAGAGACAGATGCTATCAGAGATGCGTCAAGATAAAGAAAACTAGCAAAAACCAGATCAATTTTAATAAGTAGGAAATGTCTAGCAAATGCTTGGCTTCCCTGGTTTCCTCTCTCTCCTGCTGCTCTAGAGAAAGCCAGAGCCCATTCTGTTCCCTGGCCCAGCCCTGTGGCCTCTGCCCAGCACAGAAGTCACACTACCACTCAGTTCTGCTGGGGTACCGAGCGACTGTAGGGCAGCTCAGGGGAAGCCCACAGGGTCGGTCCTTCTCTACTTACCTGCAGGCTTGCTGGAATGACTGGTCGAGCATTCACAGTGCTATAGTGAGAAAACATTGGACCAGAGACAGGAGAGCCTGGTCCAATCTCAGCTCTCATATGCTTTAGCTCTGTGGCCGTCGACATGTCAATGAAACACTGGGCCCTGGTTCCTTAGGGGCAAGGGCAAGTGGAGAGTCAGCCCTGGGAGGTGCCCCACAGCCTGCAAGTCAGCAGAGCTGCTATCTAAGCCTCGCTGTGTCCCATTCCCTCTTTCCATCTCACTCTTCTCAGTGGAAATAGGATTTAATGAGACCGTTCTTCAAGTCCCTTCCAGGTGAAATTGTTTCTGTCTCTTGCATTGCATCTCAGACCACACACCCGACACCTCAGTATGCAGCCAGCCCAATGGCTGTCCACGCCCTACCTGTCCCACATGGAGGGTGGGCCCAGCACAGCCTGTCGTACCTCAGCTGGGGTCTCACCTGCAGCAAGCCTGCTGGGTGCTCCGCCACTGGTCACCCCCCACTCTCGGGCTCTCCTTCAGTCTGTGCACTTCGTGGGTGAGACCAACAAGGCCGAGAGGAAAAATGATTTACCTACATAACATTCTGTCATGGTCTCACTGCAGTCCTTGTTCTGTACCACTCAATGTTTTTTTTTTTCCCTCCAGCACACTTGCTGTGGGAGAAATTCCAGCTCTTCTTGGGGAGAAAGTAAGCATTCTTTCTCTCCAAATCATGAGACTTCTTGCTCGGAATTCCGGGTTGTCCCATGGCAGCGAATTATTTTACGTAACAACGGAAACTCTGTTTCCGAAAGTGTTTCATGAGGCTTGGGACGTGCTCAGCATTCTGCCCGTGAGTCAGCGCTGATAGCTGGGCTTGGAGCAGGACCAGGGCCGAATAATCCTCCCCTTTCAGTTTCTCTGACGACTCTTCCCGTTATGCTCTGGGAGGCAGGATGTGGGTATGGAACTGCAGCGACCTCGGAGCTCGGGCGCTGCGTGAATCAAGGGGCCTTCCTCCCTGACCCCCTGCTCAGTGTCCAGGCTGCATCTCAGGCTTTGTCACCAGCTTTTGTCTGTGGTTTCATCACTGCTTTTCAAAGAGCTTTTCATTCAAACTGTTTTGTTTCAAAGTTCAAGGGTTTCTGAAGTGGAGACTAACTAAGGCATCAAAGTACTGACAACTGCTGAGTATAAATTATCATTTCCCTCAGGCCCACAGACCCTTCACTTGGGAGAATCCTGTTTTATCTTCAGGAGAGGAGGACAATGGTAGCCCAAGAAAGACTAGGTTGGCTTATGTGTTACTAGTATTTTTTTTCCTAATTCATTTGTCAGTTGAAGAAAAAAGGAGTGAAGAGAGGTAAACATGAGTACATATGGAAACAGTGCTGAGGGCAGGCTTTCTAGGTCCTCCAAGATTCTGCGGGTGGTGGTAAGAATTCCCCAGGATGGACACAAGGAATAAGGGACATGGGATAGGTGGTGGGGGTGGAAGAGGGTGGGACACGGGCGGCTGTCAAGAGCAGCTTTACCTTAATGGAGGCCCCGGCGAATCTGGCCAGCTGTTTAATGTGCGCCCCTTTCTTCCCAATGATGGCCCCCACGGCCTGGGTCGGGATGAAGAGATTCACGATCTCCTGCTCTGGATACTGGAAGGACAAGACGAGACAGACGCCATCACTCCCCTGCGGGCTGCCTCCCCAGGCACTCACCATTACAGACCAGTGGCTGGGTGCGGCATGGGATTCTTTGTAGCCTGGGGCACTGCAGGTGGGAAGCTGGAGGGATGAACCTGAACAGCAGCCATACTATTAATAACTACACTACAACCAGAGTGCAAATTTCTTTCGAGCAGCTCTGAATTCGCTTGTCCCAGCAAGCTGTCTGTTCACAGGCTTTCTGTGAAGTTCAAACATGAGTATCTCTTCTGTGTCTTCCTCCAAGGAATCAGCAGCTCATAAGCATACCGGGCCTGAGGCACTTTATTAGTGGGAATGCAGAGCTGCCCTCTATCTCCTTGGCAGGAGCGGATGTTGCAGGGGCGATGGTTCACAATGAGACTGATTAAACCTGCTCTGACTGGGCCGCACAGGGCCAGCCTAGAGACATGGGCAAGGGCGTTGGCCCTTGCAGTCCCTGTCCACAGAGGCCTGTGGGAATGACACAACCCACCTGCTGGCTTTGTTAAAGAACTATGGAGACTGTTCTTTAGCCCAGCATCACCTCCCCACCCTTCCCCATAACAGCTTCCAGCCACCCGTGGGATCTGTGGGCACGAGCAGGACGCTGACGGGGCATCCTCCCGTGCACGCGAGTGCCAGGTCACCTCCTGTGCTGCTGCCCTGCGATCACTTCCGGGACGACCTGGAGCCACGGGCACAGCGTGCGCACCGTGGGCACGCCCTGGTCGGTCTGCCAAGGACTACCGGAGGGGGACAAGTGGCCGACGGAACTCAACTGTGGGCACTTACGGAGTGATGATGCGGGAATGGGCCAAACTGGTGAGGGGGGTACAAGCTGGAGAAATATCCGGAGTGGGTCTGCAGCAGGAGAGAAACAGTCAGTCAGTGGGGCCCGCAAGGCCGCTCACCAAACTCAGGGAGGCAAGACGCCCACACGTAGCATTGGCTCCCAGCACCACCGCTGCGCAGCCCTGAAGGCCCACCTATCCCTCTGCAGCTCAGATCTCTGCTTCCTTCCCTGGCGGGGCCAAGCTCCGGGCTTCCCAGGAACCCAGGGTAGGGAACATGCACTTGCACTTTCTAACCTAACCTCAGGCAGAGAGGGCGGGCCAGTGGCTTCTTTTCTGAGGAATTATGAACTGTGGGTTAAAGGACTACAGGGTGCCAGGACAAGTCCAAGAGTTAGTCCAAACAAGTAAAGGTGTTCCCGGGGAAGTCAGGTCACTGAGCTCCCAGAGAATCTCAGAAGGAATGGAGTGATGGAGAACAGAGGCATTAACATGAAGCTGAGACAAGGGAGAAAATGAACGAATAGATACACACTGGGGGAGGGGGAAGCAGGGAACAGGAAAGCAGATGTGGTAGAAAAACACAGAGCTGTTAAGAAAATGGCATTCTTTTTAAAAGTAGCTGCTTTTTACTCAAGGCCTGTGTCCCAGGCAATGTGGTAGATCCTTTATTCATAAACTCTCTCAATCCTCGTCATAGACCTGCTAGACAGGAATGCATCTACTTTTATATATTTTATGGGCAGAACGTTAAGCGGAGTCAGCAAGTCTATTTCACTGTGCTTTGCACATAAGGCCAAGTATGATAAATGCTGACCTGCCTGTTACAGGAAGGAAGGTGAACACATGGCCCTGACAGGAAGGGAGGTGGACAGCTCTGGGACCAATCCCCAAGGGCCCGTCTGTCTGGCAGTTGTCAGACACGATGAGGCTTGGAGTTAGGGGACCTAACTTCCATTTGAGGACCCTTGAACAGATCTCCTGGTATTCTCTGTCCCCTGAATATCCAACTGGCTTCTCTGTCCCAGAGCACAACATTGCCTTAGGAATCAAAATGCGGCTATTCTGCTTTTTGAGTTTGGGCAGTGTACTTCTGACCTCAGGGGGAAAAGAGATGTGAACACGGTGGGGAGCTTCCCCCAAGGGTGCTTGGGGTGTCCACAGCACCTGCAGGAGACAGAAGCTCTGCCAAAGGAAGGGAGCTCAGTTCAGTTGCTCAGTCGTGTCCGACTCTTTGTGACCCCATGGACTGCAGCACGCCAGGCCTCCCTGTCCATCACCAACTCCCAGAGTTTACTCAAACTCGTGTCCATTGTGTCAAGGCATCCAACCATCTCATCCTCTGTCGTCCCCTTCTCCTCCTGCCTTCAATCTTTCCCAGCATCAGGGTCTTTTCCAATGAGTCAGTTCTCTGTATCAGGTGGCCAAAGTGTTGGAGTTTCAGCTTCAGCATCAGTCCTTCCAATGAATATTCAGGATTGATTTCCTTTAGGATGGACTGGTTGGATCTCCTTGCAGTCCAAGGGACTCTCAAGAGTCTTCTCCAACACCACAGTTCAAAAGCACCAATTCTTTAGCGCTCAGCTTTCCTTATAGTCCAACTCTCGCATCCATACATGACCACTGGAAAAACCATAGCCTTGACTAGATGGACCTTTGCTGGCAACCATGCTGTAAAGCCAGCCTCTACTCATGTAACATGGAAAGAGGCTGCAGTGACAGCTCATGGCCACAAGAGGGGGTTATGAGATCAGTGTTCTGGCAACCTCCACTTTTGAAAGGAAGCCAGCTGAGTGGAGATGTTTGGCTCACTTGGTCCTGCCTCTTTCTTGAAGAACAGCAACTCCAGACTCTACTCTGCAGGTCCCAGTTCTGGGCTGTCGAGGGTCGGGAGAGAATTCCAGCAGCTTTTCTGCTCAGACAAATCCTTGGGGAAAGGATGCCTCTGCCCTCCTCTCACCTGGAAAGTTTTTCCTTCAGCCCTCAGCAGAAATAATTCTTTTGAATTGTGATTTGACCCCAAAATAGACAAACCACAAGGGTAGCTCCGTTTTGGGTTTAAATACTCCCAAGACAAATACAGTATCAAATTTAGATCTACCACTTGGGTTGGGGAGGGAATGAACTGTAAAAGAATAAAAAGAACGGACTCCTCAGTCCCCGTTTTATTCATGAGTTACAGTTGGAAAACCACTGTGGAGAAAGAACCCTGAACACAGGAATCAGGAGCTTGTTTCTAGCTGAGGCTCTGTCCTTAGCTTTTGTGTCTGTAGGATGGTTCTTGGAGTCAGAAGCCCAGAAGACTTGAGTCTGAATACAGCTGTATACAACTGGAGATAATTTACTCAACTTTTCTGAAGCTCATCCACAAATGGATTTAAAAAGTATCTAGAGCTTATAATGCTATTGTGGGAGTTCATTCAACTGCTGATTCATTCATGCATAAGATATCAGAGCAGAAGCACTGTTCTAGGTGCTGGGGACCCAGATACTAAGACAGAAAAGAGTCACTGGCACCATGGAACTTAGGTTCTACTGGAGAGGCAGACAGTGTATGAAAGAAATGAACAGGAGGACATGAGGAGGGGTAGCTGCTGAGGTGAGCAGTGGGCTGGTGATTTCACCTGGAGGGGTCTGGGAAGACTCTTGGAGGAGGTGACTTGTGAGTGGGGACCCATGGAGGACATGGAGCCCTAGGTAAGAAACATTCTAAACAGAGGTCTTTGAGATACAGAGCTAGGAAGGGGCTTGGCCTGTTTGGAAAACAGGAGAGGCCAGTATGGCAAAAATAACTGAGACAGAATGAGATATGATGGAGAGGCAAGCAGTGTGAGGTCACGCAGAGGTGGGCCTTGGTTTGGACGTGGGTTTGAACCTACGTACAACGGGTGCCCCTGAAATACACTACATGGCACTCGATGAGCACAGGCATGGAGAATCCATCACTGGGCACCGTATGGCCTTAATTATTGGTAAATGAGTACTCATTTATCACACTTCCCATTCCCTCCACCCCCATGCTTACAGGGGAGGCCACAACCTCAAATGGAAGAGGTGCTTAGGCTTTATGATCAAAAAGTAACCTGTTGAATAAATGTTCTCTTTAATGGGAAAGCAGGGTGTAGCCATCTGACGAACTGGGGCCCCAGAGTGGGACAGGTGGTATGGAACCCTAACTCTAAAATGGCAGCTGAGCTTACTCTCTCAGTTTAAAGGTCCTCAGCTATTTCATTTAAGAAGGCAATGGCAACCCACTCCAGTACTCTTGCCTGGAAAATCCCATGGGAGGACTTTGGTAGGCTGCAGTCCATGGGGTCACTAAGAGTTGGACACGGCTGAGCGACTTACTTCACTTTCACGCATTGGAAAAGGAAATGGCAACCCACACCAGTGTTCTTGCCTGGAGAATCCCAGGGACAGAGGAGCCTGGTGGGCTGCCTGCCATCTATGGGGTCGCACAGAGTCGGACATGGCTGAAGTGACTTAGCAGCAGCAGCAGCTGCTATTTCATGAGGGAGAAGCTATTTTACTTTTGATGTTTCAAAAGAATTAGAATTTCAGATATGGGGGGGAAGAGATCATGCTGAAGGTGCTCCTGAAAGATGTGACCCCCAAAAAGAGAGGCCACAAGGCTGGCCACTATTATCCACTGGTTCATTTCAAATTCTTGGTTTGAGGGAAATTAGTATCATCTTCTATGTCATCTTCTATGCTTGACCATGCTGGGGTAATAGGGGGGTAGATATCAAACTCTGGCCACCCGATGTGAAGACGTGACTCATTAGAAAAGAAAAGACCCTGATGCTGGGCAAGACTGAAGACAAAAGGAGAAGGGGTGGCAGAGGATGAGATGGTTGGATGGCATCACTGACTCAGTGGACACGAGTTTGAGCAAATTTCAAGGGAGAGTGAAGGACAGGGAAGTTTGGGGTGTTGCAGTTCATGGGGACGCAAAGAGCTGGACATGACTTAGTGACTGACCAACAACAAAAATGTACCAGACACACTCATGAACATTTAGAATGGAATTAAAGCTGGGCCTGCTTTTCCTAGAAGAACTACAGGGTCCTGAGTTCTAAGCTGTTGAGTACGACCATTTCGTGCATCATTTAGGTGATATTCTGAATCATAAAGAAATCATGGAGCAGGAAGAGAGAGGGGCATGGAAGGATCGTAAAGAGGCAAGGGTCAGGCATACAAAGTATTTTCAGATATAGAAATAGCTTTAGTGTGATGACAGAGTGCTGTTACAAAGATGGCAGGCGCTCCTCCCTGGAACCAGGGACACGGATGTGGGGCAAGGGAATGGACTTGGGCAGAGGGGCCAGAGTCATGAGTAGAGCCGCTCCAGGTTCAGAAGGTACACATGCTACCCTGGCGTCCAGTGCCTCCTTCCAGGCCCTGCCCACCAGCCCTGTGTGCTCTCAGGAGCTGATGGGGACCAGAACTGGGTCAGCTAGAAAGAAGGGGAGCCAAGATTCGAGCACAGATCTCTATCTGACTCTGTGTCTCTAGATCTTAACCCAATGCTGCCCTCACATGGAACATTCCAAATTCACTGGTGGGACCCACGGTGTATGTTATGATAAGGCTGCCCAAAGGATTCTAATATGCCTTTTGCTGAGTTTAAGTACATGAATGGACAATTAAAACTCACTGGACACATACAGAGAAGCAGCAGCATGAAAGGGGGAAGCAAAGCTAAGCAAGGCACATGACCTTGGTAAATTAATTCAGCAAAGAGGGAAAACTTTTTTAAAAAGTCTGATTTCTCAGTGAGCTTCAAGAGGGCAGTGCTTTAATATGTGAGTACACTGCTATGAGGAAAGCCAATCAGAGAACTAGATCGATTTTAGAAATTAAAAACTAGTAGAGTAAAAACTCAACAGAAGCCCTGTAAATAGCAGCATGGACACTCCCGGAAGGGCAGGCAGTGCACAAGAGGGTTAACTCACACAAAACAGAAGCAGGGACTCAGAAAGACAGGACAAGGAGAGTGAGAGGATTACTCTCTCTCCAGAAAGTGCAAACCCCAGAAGGAAAAAAACAGATCCAGAAGGTTTCCTGAAC